GTTGTGAAGCGGAGATTGTCGTGGGAAAACGGAGACAGGCGAGTGAGCCAACTCGTTTGGTAAACGAGACAATATTTATGGTCGGACAAAAATAAGCTATCGACAGTTATTGAATAAAGTAAACAATACACTCATACCCTAATATAAAAATAGTCAGGGTTAATAAGCGAATAACTGACAAGGTCGAAATTTGACTCAAGGAGAATGAATAAACTGGTCTGTCCTGAAGCTAGAATAACCCATGTGGACTTGACGTAATATCAGACACCACACGGATATGCTTCGGTAATACATCACTCAACTTAGATCTTACCATAAATGATGAGGTGTTATCTAAGCTACATAGATTAGTAGACTTAGGTACTCCTACAATTTGTCATTTACAGAACAGGCCTCCAGGTCTCAACGTCTTATGGGTTGTATAACTCAAAACTTTTATAACAACAAGTCACATATTTTGATGTACAAAGTTTTTGTTCGACCACCTCTAGGATACTGTACATTTATTTTTGCAGTGTGTGCATAAAGGATAAAAAATAAGGTTGGAATCACTAACCGTGCAACAGGAATGATGTTAGTGTATACCATATAAATACCATGCTTGAAAGTGTACAGACATATACGATGAAAATATGAGTAAATAACGAACTAAAAGTATCAGGTAATTTAAACAAAATATTTTTTATTTAAGATATAATGAAATTTTGGTTCTATACACATAAACGAATGGCTTAGACTTTATGCAACTATAACTGGTCCATAGCGTCAGGTAACTGTTTACCTTTGGCGTACTCATCAACCTCTAGATCACCGTTCTGATATCGAATATAATAAACAAAAAGGAAATTAGACCGTTAATTGTGTCATGTATGTTTGTACGGCAAGTCAATACCCTATGATGGTCATTTTAAAACATAAGATCATGAAAACAAACAGGAGAGAGCGATGTCGAGTAATAGTGTTATATTTCTGAATTAAACGAGATAAATCCATGTATCCCTGCGCAAAAATTTAAACCATAGAATATAACAAGAACTGATACAAAATATAATTCAAGTTTAATGGTAAATAACTGCCACATTACTATCCATGCACAATATACTACACAAATTCCCAGCAACATATAGGCGGCAGCTAACAAGATAGAGCTTTGAGATCGGTTAGCCATAGAACAAATATAAAGTCGGACGATATCAAGTATGAACAGTGACGAAAGAATCAATATTTCGTAAAACATTTCCAAACTTTCATATGGCAGAGTGAAAAACTTATATACAAACACAGATATCTGACTTAAAATGAACAAAACTAGAATGAATTTGGATAGTTCGATAGACAACTGGAATAAAGCAGACGATTTACCACCCAATTTACCAGACATTATATTTCGGTTTAAGTTTGGAAAGAACAAAAGGCTAGGTGGACTGTATTAGTCCTGGCGATGATGGTTTCTTAATTTATCAAGATATCTTTTGAAGGTGTCAACAGATGGAGCTTCAATCACACGTTGAGATAATGGATTCCATTTATTGATGGTTTAATCGGAAAGTCGATAGTCAACTGACAAGTAATTTGTTTTGAACTTGTGAACTTTTTGTACACTCACAAATTCTCTGTTTAGGAAAGCAAGAAAAATAAGAGAATGTCAGATGCAAATTTATCGATAAGTAATTAAAAAACGGTTATCAAGTCACCTCCGATTCTTTTATATGACAAGGGAAATAGATTTAGTTTAACCAGTCAATTATCATACGGGAGCATTGCTATTCCGGGGAGCAGTTTAGTTGCGGTTCTTTCAACCTTCTCCGATAGCTCACTGTCGCTTTCTAGGTGTGAGCTATCCAGTTGTACACGATCCACAAATTTAGGACGGACGAATACTATACACAAAGTCAGAGTTTTCCGTATATACATGACCAAAGGCTCTGCATTTTACCACATGGTTTTGAAACTTTGGGCGGCAATCGTAAGGCAGTCGGCAGTAATTTTTAAATCTCACCTAACTGCGATTCTTAGGTCATTGTGCCTAGACAACAGTTATCTCAATGTTACTCACCTTGTATACATATTTACCTTAGTCAAATTCTAGACCGTTCAGCTAATTCCTCTAGGTCAATTCAAAGCTCTAAACTCTCGCCTTCACATTTTGTCGCTCCTTATATCTTGACACTGTCGGCATATAACAAGACCGATGACGATAGGAGACTTAGAAGGTCATTTAACTACAGGAGGAACAACACACCCAGAAACTATACTCTGATAGTATGGCGTTCTTCCAGCACTGCAACACGACTTTTGGTAACCTACCCTGGGTCTCAGATATATTAAAACGTATACTTAAGGGATCAGAAGTAATTTTTGCTGTGAAATCCAGTATTTGATGTTGTTGATAAAAGAGAAATAGTATGTCACATCAACTCGGCGACGAAGTACTGCGAAACGTTTCTATCAAATTTAGATGAGAGTTCTTATATTTGATATGATTGTATTTAGTGAAGTATTTTTTGACGGAGCAGTTTAAAAGCTTCTAGGAGGCGTAAGCTTACACCTCTAGAGGATCTGGAAATGCGATTAAGCGCAAAAATGAGGCTATGACACATAAATTGATTCTACTGCAGCAAAAACATAGGATCCAATTACAATTAGAGATGAAAGTTGATAGAGAAATGTCCTGATTCCATAATATGAATAAGATTTGAAACAGGTTGTACCGCAATATTTCAAACCAGTAAGCGGTGTTAACATGACAACGCAACGCGTTTTAGAAAATGAAAAGGATCTGAGTTTGGTAACGCTATCTCTCATTCAGAGCGTTTGACGTTTATCGAACTTAATTGCGACACTAGATACCTATTAGCGGCAGTTGCGTTACAATGTACTGTAGCTTTTAGAATTATGTGGACATAAGTTTCAGATTCCTAAACCAAATGATTGATATATTTTTTCCTCTCGTAGAATTTTGGACATTTCTGGACCGAAATTGGGAAACCAAAATTGGAGAAACCAATTATTTTGGTAGTAGATTTCATAAAATAATGACTAGCTGAGGAAACCTACTGAATAAGAGGTTTGTGTTACTTGTAAAGATGCCACAATTATTTGGAGTATGACAACGCTTTAACTAGTAACACTTTTATAATCGAAGCATTTCAACCTAGTCAAGTCAGAAGTGAAGAAGTTCCACGTTATATTTGAAAAACTACCGACATCTCTGGAAGCGTTTAATCTAGGTTGGCTAACGTTTGTAAGAGATGCGTAGCACGGTGTTCCTACTCGTGATCTGGTGCAAGTTCGTGACCCGACGCCTTCAACTAGGCGTGTCCATTAAGACTAATGAGATCAGAATCATTTGTCGAAGACTTACAGAACTATTTATTTCGGGATTTTATTTACCACTGCACGTAACTCCTCCCCTAGTGGGGTGGTGTTGACCGTAAGATGAGACCAATCAAAGTTTAATCCCAATAAGCTTGTTGTTGGTAAACGCTCTATGTTCAAAAGCGTCCGGTCGACTTTCTCTTATAAAAGGAACCATATAGTACAACATATCAATGAAAAACTGGTAAAATGAAATGTTCTATTCATTTTATTCTTCGTCGGTTTGCAATCTTTTCCAGCCATCTTGGAAAAGAAAAACAAAAATTGTAAGTGTATATCAAAACATACTCCTACGACAATATGGACACAAAACGGGCGTAAAAAATGAAAATGAATTGGTCAACGTGCGTCTAGTTAACATGAAATGACTTAGAAACAATTTGCTCACAGTGATGTTTTTTAATTGAAAGCACACACATATATGTGCACATATTGGAAAATAGCAGTGTTTGTTTTTGGGTTTTTTGATGCAGCCAGCTCGTGTTTATCGCTGCTTTGGGTCGAGACAAGCACTGATAGCACCTATCGGGTATGCTTAGATTAGGAGAGCTGTTTAAACAGGTCATCGTCAAAGGTTCGTTGACCAATGACCGCTCCTTTCCGTCGCAACATTTTTGTCGATGTAACACGTTGCCGCTGCACGTTGTGGAAAAGTTTTTCTAAACTTTGCCTGTCGGTTGGGCTTCTTTTAAAGTATTGTGGGGTTCCGAAACACCACTATTAAACATACTAAGTGTGGCATACTGATTGAAATAGCGTGGTAGTGTTCTCTCTCAATAATGTAAGGAATTGTGCATGTGGATGTGTCACGTCATACTCAGGGAACGAAGTTGCTTGCAACATTTAAAAGTGAAATACAGTCACCTGAAACACGTTGTAGACTAAGACTACAAGTTAGGCTATTCTCCTCTAGAAGCATTTTAAGTTGAATGAGATTTAGGAGTGTTGGTAACCTATGAACTAAAGTCTTATGCCAACTGCAACAAAAAGGCTTTTCAGGAAAACTTTGCACTGTAGCGTTAAAGTGCATTTACACCCAGTGTGATGGTAGAACTTTCTACCGACTCTTCAACAGTTTTATGCCACTTCATCCAGAGTACACAAACATTTTGTTTCCGTTCGCACTACGAAGGATAGCGATATATTTGGACGTAGTCTACGGCAAGCCACGAAATCCAACACTCGAATTCAAGTTTTATGATGAGCGTCTCAATTCACTGAAACTTTACCCATTAGAGTAGTAAATTCATATTTTTTCAACTGATTCTCTTCAGACAAATTTTCGGTATTCAAAAGAAAGTGCGGAGTTTATCTCCAGTATATTTGCCCGTCATATGTTCTGATTTCCGCATTGAAACCGTAGTGACATTTAATTTACATATAATGGACATGTAGTGAATACCTTCCATTAGTGGGAAGTGCTCATGTTTATTAACATCGTGTGTCAGTGAGGTGTAAAGTCAAGAGAATTTGAACAGTGTTGCTCCTAGTATTGGCCTAGTGATAGGCCATAAAAAGTAGCCTGCTGCTGCAAAAAGTCTGTGATCAAAATAGTCCACTGGTGACTCGTAAGCTAAAACAAACCCAGTTAACGGATAGTGAAAATGAAAGTCATGTTGAATGGTAATTTAATTGCATTAGCCGACATGATTATGAATATGGTTACGAAAAGTCATTTGAAATTTCGCGGACAACAAACAAGTACCTTTGATCAAAAACAATATATACGCCGGCCTTAAAACTTTTTCGTCGTCTAATGACTAGAAGAGCAAGATACAAATACATGAAAATCATATGTCCGCGGAAAATACGGAAATTTTTAAAATTCCTCTATCTGTAAGGAAAAAGTGCATTTTCCCAACTAACTGGTGGTTGAAAATTAATGCATGTAATTTTTAACTGTACATTTTATTATTTGTAACTTGCTTATCTACATATTTTCTGCAGTGTCAGTTTCCATTAAAATTTACATTTTGAAGTACTTCATCTCCAATATACTTTACCGTACTAAACATATAATATGGAATAAAGCAGTTATTGTAATTGATGTTCACATTTCAGCTTTCTTTTCAAATTTCGTCATAATAAATTCGCTTCTTTAGTAAATAACCTTTCAATAATTTTGTGAACATTTATAACAGATGGCACAACAGCATGCAAAACGAATAATCAACTAAAAAAATTGTTAGAGGTTAGGGGCATTATCAAGCAACAGAACAATACTTCAGTCCAGTGATTACGATGAATTTTTAATTAAAACGCCGAATCTATCATTTTTATAGCGAATACAGACGAGTGTTAAAATAATGGCGGCAGCAATAATGTGATATATTTACTGTCATATGGGTGATAAAATTACAGATGATAATGTACATCATTTGGTCAGTTTATTGGATTCCATCTAATAGGTATACTGCCGGAGGATTATGAAAAAGTGGGTGGATAAAAAACAACATTTGTTTAGTTTAAATTACCTAGAAAGACGTACGGTGTCATATACATCATGAAAATGTAAGGTAACTGTATATTATTTGTAATCGGAATACAGAATATCTTCTCAACCCATATCTTTATGATTTAATTGATTTATACAATTTTGTGAAGGTGTAGTATCATCAAAAAATAATTCTGAACATGAATTTTGTGCCATATGTTCACCGAATTTTTTGTCGTAGTATCCTCCTGTTACATTTGAAAATTCGTAGTCAATAATCTCTTGGAAACTTCTTACTAGAACGGCAATTAATGTGGTTCCCAACACTAAATAAACTAGAAATAAAACAGTAAGCAGAAATGTTATTTGTAATTAAAATAAAGGTTATTATTTGACATATAAGGCTATGTTTTTTTATTGAACTTTGTTATATCAGTTGCTGATTTCAAGTACAGGATTTATTTTATGATACTTTTCGACTTGGAATAACAGCAACTTAAGAAACAAATATAACCAAAGAAATGGAGGAGTTCTTTGTAAAATATTTTAGTTTGTGTATAACAATTGTCACAGATCAACATCAGCAATCGAGGTTTTTTGTCTGATTGTGGAGTTTCTCCACAGTACGCTCTCATGATTCTACCAGAGGCCGAACCCAAAACATGCTAGTCTCGCGGATATCGCTTAACTACTGTAATAAAATCCAGTAATGTACGTTTCCAACCTAATTAAATTGGGTAAATATCGCAGCGACCGAAGTATTCATTAACAGAGGAATTGAATGATAGTTGCACTCTATACCATTTAGTTAATACTATCTTAATATAATACATTGGTTTGTGATGAACTGGGTGTTTATTATGAGTGAAATAAAATCAGTCTTTTAAAGTAACTGTCTACTCTAGAATAACTTTTATCGGGAATTAGCATCAACTGAAAGATATTGAAAATATAGAAGCACCGAATTTCTTCTTGTTTTGTCTTGGAATGGAACTCAGTGTCTCTGATTTGCAGTCTATTCAACGAATAAGTTAAAATTACTTAATTTACGGGTTTTTAAACAATCTAATAATCAAACAAAAAATCTTCACCATATTGTATATTAATATCTATAACCGAGTTTCAATATGCAAATCACTCGTGACTTTGTGGTTTGGATATTCGCACATAGGAATAGACAACAGGTAGATAGCTAGTAATATATTAACATAAAATCTCTAAATGTAGAAATCGAATCTTTCCGATAGAAAGATATTTTACTTAAAGTCCAGTTGAACATACATATTTTTAGAATATGTTCAATGCGCATTTTATCTACAAAGCTATGTAAGCGAAAATCAATAAATGATTGATTAAATTCAGCAAATACTTATGGATGTTGGTTGGCCCCACAGGTTCATCAAACGTAATTTTAAACAAAAACCTCAATTTGGGAAAGCTCTTGTGATAACAAAATAGATTTTGTTCATAAATATTGAATTCGAACAGCAACCAGAAACAGAAATTCTGGAAACCAGCCATCAAGAATCAATGAAATAATTTTAATTTTGCTGAGCTCTGAATTTGTTACTCGAATAGACGTTCGGTCGGGGGGGGGGAAGTATTAAGGATAAACTGCAACTTTGGGTGAACTTAATGTTTCTTTGCTCTTAGATAGTAGGTAATATTGATTATTAAAGCGTGTCCTAGTACTTTTTGGAGTGGTTATCAATCAGTTAATGATTGAATTATTAGACACATAGTTAACCTTGGTCACGTAGCTCTACTGGAATTGTCTTATAAGAGCGTTTTCAAAATCAAAAGAACTGGTTTAATAGCAGTTTGGATCATAACTTTGTGCACCAATTTGAATTTGTTTTAGATATAAGACAGAAATGGGCAATTCTTAACTTTATGATGTTCTTGGCAATCTCAATCCTAAAGATTATGGTTTCCCCTTAATTTTTCATTCTACATTTTTTTAGATTCTTAAAGTGGACAGCTGTCTTTCCTTCGTTATTTTTATGTTACTTCTCTACGGTTCAATGGAGAATGCTGGTGGGAGGCCTGTATATCTCCACAAAGGGGTAACAAGCGTAAGTATGTTTCTTCATCTTAAAAACTATAAGCGGACATTTTCTCGATATTCAAAAACATTCGATGATTTTTATTAGCTTCGTTAAATAATGCAAAACCTCACTTTGCTATTAGAAGCTGTGTGTAAAGTAAACTATAAATACGGTTGTACATCTTTGGCAATTAACATTGTTGAGAATAAAATTTCCTTAGCTGAATAGCTTTTGTTTTTGTAATAATGGAGTAGGTTTCTTCGGCTGTCTTAATTTTAGCTTATAAGTAAAATTTAAGTTTCTCTAAACTTGGAAGTACTTTTGAGGTTGTCGTTTATATGGCAACAGTGGGCTGTTAGATGGTAAATCTACGACCTGCTTACGTTTTCATTGAAGTAAAACTATTCAATTGGTATGTTTAGTATTGAGATTAAGAATATGATGCAATCAAAGGACAACTTTAAAATAATCGTTGCATTTCAATGGAGACTCCTCAATTAAGTTTTGTGAAATAAATTAACATCACATATTGTGCATAAATATGGTAGTACAATGAATTAATAAGGTGCTAAAGATAATAGGGCATTTGGGGGCCCCAAATGCCCTGGTACGGCCGAGAGTGGGGAGAGTCCGCTCTCCCTCTCGAAATGCTCTCACATGGCCATGCGTATATAGCCTCTGCCAGGGAAGTCCTACTCACTGCCTTCTCGTGGCGGGGGTGTTGTTTACAAAAATGAGAGGACGAAAAGCGAATGTCTGGCGCTTTAACCGGATCCCGAACCAATGGTGCACATGGGCTCCAGTATCCTGAAGGAGCAAATGGCGTATGAACCAATCGTTGGTCACCGGCTACCATGGGACTGCATCTCCTCACGATGCTCCACTGCCTTGTGGGTCAGACGTTCAGGTCAAAGCTCGGGGTGTGGCCCCCTAAGAAAACCACCTGCTTCGGTTTGGGCACCCGGGCAGTATCACAGCCCTCACACAAATCAATTGAGATTTGTGTGGCGCATATGTATTTGGTACCTCCCTGTACCTATACTTATGTGTTAAAATAAAATAATAAATAATAAAAGATAATAGGCAGATACTACATTTAGTTGAGAATCCAGCTCTATAGCAGTCTAGTTTGAAAATATTCCTGGAAAGTACATTAATAAATGTAAACAATATACTAACTTATTTTTTTACTACTCAGACTATGAAATGTGGCAGTTTATTTTATGTCGCCATATTGAAAATATGAATTTCCTGAAACTTGAATATATGCATTTCTGGTCAATAGAGAAATTTAATAACACTTTACACAAGGTCTTTATATTATGTGATCTGTTTCCAAAAAATATGTCAGTCAGGTAATCAAAGAATGATTAAATATATAGGACTCACTTGCAGTCATTACTCTGTAAATATTCTTCACATATAATATTGTTACTAATGATGATGTACTGCTGTCTTTACTTTCACTTGCCACCATATCACCAAAACCAACTGCACTAAGTGATATGATACAAAAGTAAATTGCATCAAAATATGTCCAATTCTGTTCTAAATATGTAAATATAATCCCAGGTATAAGTATTGAGCATGTTATTACTACACAAAATACAATGAAGAAATGTAATAATCGTAAACGAAATATACCATGATGTACATTCACATATCGAAATTCTGAAAGTTTAACTTGTGTAGTTAAAGCCAAATCACTTCTAGATAACTGAGGTAGTAAACAAAACAAAACAAAGTAACCGAAAAAATGAATCAATGTCGAAAATAGTAATAAACATTTTTTTTTGTATTTTGACTTTACAGTTAAATAACCTCAGTGTAATAAAGTCCACAAGTGGACAAAAAATGCATGTTCATTAGTTATTCTTTGAATGTTAAAGACAGGAAGTTTAGCGAAGGGATATCTTTCCAACGAATTTATTATCAAGCTGTACAATCATATATATATATATATATATATATATATATATATATATATATATATATATATATATATATATATAATATGATAAAAATGTTTTTGTTACAATAATCGTAGGTAATTAGAGGTGATAGAGATGTAAAATAAATGAAGTGATATCATGAGCAATTATGAATAAGATAATGAGAATATAAGACATAATAAGTGAAGAGAGAAATGCTATAATAATAATAATATTAATAATAATAATAAAGGTCATGGTAACGACAATACGTAATTCGTTTTTGCGCATAGTTCCTGCTTGAGCTCATGGATGGTGAGAACTTCGGCTACTTTTAGTAGTTGGATACGAAGAAATCTAGGTAGATTTAGACGAATCGTACATACAACCTTAACATCAATCTGTGGATCAGTAGAATGATTACAGTCGATTAGATGTTCAAGTATGGAACTCCTACATGCTGTTCTCTCACCCTTGTAGAGTTACACTGGGACATGTTCCCGTATCCGAGTTGAAAGAGAGTTCTGACTACGGCCAATGTACCTTACTCCACAAGAGCAGATGAATTGGTAGATGCATATGGAGGCGACCAGACGGGGAAGCTTATCCTTTATGGATGCAGAAAATAAGTTCGTATTTGTGAACGTTATTCGTGGTTTTGCCTCATAAAATGTTCCTTTTATCTCTGTCGTTAAACGATTTTTGATTACATCAGATGTTCGATTGCCTTTAAATTCCAAACATATATAAAGGTTTTCTTTGGAATGGAACGACCGGATTCATTATCACAACTACTTTTTCCCATATTCTTATACATGAAGCAGTCTGAATAGCCATTTTTTATCAGAGTTTTTCTGAGAAATGCAAGTTCTTTGTCAATGCATTCCGTACTACATATCTGATGTATTCAGTAACTTAAAGAGTGAATACGATTTCTCTTTCTGCTTTAAAGAACCCAGCTATAGAAGTTGGTCTGCTAGTCGTTCCATGTTTGTTTTCTATGAACGGATCTTCTTAAAGAATCATCACTGCTTCCCGCCAGACGCACATCGAGAAAAGAGATTGAATAACCTAGCTCATATTTTAACGTGAAGTCTATGGAAGGGTGGCATGTGTTGAAGGAGTGTAATGTATCTTCTATTTCATTATTATTGTCACAAATGACAAATGTGTTGTCCATATATTTTACGTATAGATGAAATCGATTAATCATTGAATTAAGTTGGTCTTTTTCCCGTTTCGCCATAAGACATTCTACTAAAATTGGGCCTAATGGAGACCTTGTTGAGATCCTATCTCTTTATCTATGAGTTTCATTGTTGAAACTAAACTGTACATTAAAGGTACAACGTAACAATAGATCTTTCAAGTGATCAGTCGGCAGACATAGATTTATGTTGTTAGGATCAGTTTACTCACATACATCGCATATCGTTTCGGCTGAAAGTACACTAGTGAACAAAAACTTAACGTCAAGCAAGAACATATGTTTTATTATTACAGCATTTCTCCCTTCACTTATTATGTCTTATATTCTCATTATCTTATTCATAATTGCTCATGATATCACTTCATTTATTTTACATCTCTATCACCTCTAATTACCTACGATTATTGTAACAAAAACATTTTTATCATATTAGTACATTGACTTTATAATTCGTCACTAACTTATTAAGTCTGATGTTAACATACGTATTACATGATCTAGTATTATAATCTTTCTATTACATCATCTTGGTTATTCCTTGTTCGCATTTCCTCACGGAACTAGTACATTAAGAAAAGCATTTTTCATATATATATATATATATATATATATATATATATATATATATATATATATATATATATATATATATATATATATATATTGAAAGATGAAATCAGAAGAGAAGCTTTTTCTTAAACAAATGTAACATTCTTCCTTTGAACAATAAATAAGCAGAATAAACTAATATGTACGTTGTATTTCCAATATCAAGAATAACACTTAACTACCTAACTCTATGGACTCTAAGGAATTTAAAAAGTTTTCTCATCATTTACTTATCTACTGTAATTTAATTATTTATTCCAAAATAGCTATTCCATACTCGTGCAATTTTTCGAAAAGCACGGAAAGTCAGTGTATCGGTAGGCGCAGATTGTTTCAGTATTCTTTACACGACTTCAGTTTACCGTTAGTCGAAACTTGCTGACACTTTTATCGTTTTCAGTTAATGTGTTTTTCATAATTACCCAGTATGATGTACAAGTGTCCTATGTTTGGTATTTTAAACTTTCGTAAAACTGTACATGGTATGTGAAATGATGTTACAGAAGAAAGAACTCAGCAGAAAGTTAAAAAAGCGATATTGAGCTGAAAGTCTTGACATATATAGAAACATTTACTCACCAAGTAATGTAGAAATGCTATGCAAGAAATATGAGCACGATCAGCTAGTGAAGTTTCTGTAGAAAAGCAATCGTTAAGATTACGTGTATTTTGTGTTATTTCTCTAAATAGTTCACTCAATGAATGACGAGCTGGTTTATTGACGTTTTTTACATAAGCTTCTTTTTCAATGTATCCACTGAATTGACTTGGAGATGATTGAGTTGTATCCAGCTGATTTATTCTGTTGTCAGCTGCATCTGGATGGTTATTTGCTGCAAAACTTAAAGAAACTTTATGTTCTAATTTTTTCGGTACATTAGTGTGATCAAGTATCGTTTTCGGCCTGTTAATTTTTACCGAAGCTAAAGTGGGATTCATTGATAGGTCATTATTTATATGAAGTTCGTGATGTTTCATAATCGATAATATTTGTTTATTTGATTGGTCATGTTTTGAGATATTATGATCGTTTTCAGCATTAAAATCTTTTCGATAATTTTCAGTTTTTATTGCCAGAGAACTTTGAGATTGGGTCTTGTTTGTTGATAAAGATGTTGATAAGGAAGTCAGTGAGGCAGTTTTATTTGATAATCCGTCATCTTTGACGACATTCTTTGGCTCGGTAATATTGCATACTGTTGGTGAAAGATTATTCGATAAACGACTATAAGAAAGTGACAAGAATATCAAGCAAGGAGAAGTGAGAAAACAAGGTACTATGACAAAATGCGAATACTTGAGTGGCTCAATTGGTAAGAAGTCAAATATTATTCTAGGAAGCATTAAAAATGTAAATTAGATAACCACGATTATATCAGATGAGAAGACGGAGTTGATCTGAAAAATGTGATGTATTTGCGCCATATATTTCGAACAATCTGGTCACACACATACTTGTCAGGGCATTTTATATGAAAATTAATAAAGGTCAACTAAATGGAAGTTCAAGTAAAAAAGTAATAAAGGGGAGAGAAAGAAAAAGAAATTGTCGCGTTATCCTAGGCCATAGAATGACTTAAGGATTACCAAGGTAAAGTCAAGGTTACGACAAATTGTTTTTATACACATATAGGGGGTTTAGATTTACGAATAGCCAAGGCTTCAATAAACTTAAGAATTCGTCCTTGACAATTTATATACGACGTTCTAAAAGCTGTATTAATGTCAATTTTGTGTCCCTTTTCAATTATATGTTTTACTATCGATGAACCTGGTTTTCTACCACCCACGTTGATAGGGTCATTTGACATGCATTGATTTTGAAGCCATCTAGGCATATGTTCAATGACCCTTGATTGCATCGTTCGATTACTCTTCCCTATGTATGTGTGTCCACACAAACATGTAAATTGGTAAATACAATGGGATGTGACGTAATCATCAGTGCATTGTCTGGGTCTATTAGGAATCATGGGCTTAGACTTTTCAATCACAACCAATTTAGCAACATAATAGGTACTCTCGATGGCTGCTTTCAATCTCTGTCTTAAAACTATACTGTTGAATTCGCCTCTATATGGTAGATTGATATAAACTTTCCCAGAGGTCGATTATTATTAAGTGGTATTTTCAGTTATATGAATTTCTTTATTTTAAAATGAGTACTTATGGTTTTAACTATCCAAGTTGATTTTCTGATGAAAGTCAACTCGAAAGCGAAACTTTGAGACAGGACATTGTGTGCGCAAATAGCAGGGTAAACAATGCGTTTACCAAGTGTCTGCTATCGGCAGTTGACATTTATGGTCTACAATCACAAGATATTTCCAGACGTTAACTAGCTATGGTTTAAAGTATTAATTGGTATACTATGTCTATTGATTGATATTGCGTATATTGAGTTGTATAAAGCGTATGAGATACCTTAATTCAGTAATTTAATAAATTAACTAAATGATACGTTAAATTTACGGATTTCTTTGAAATGTGAATTGAATAACTGAATATGATAATTATTAGAAAAAAATATATTCAACAAAAATCATGTATCGTTTAACTGAAGCTGTACGCAATTAATTAAATGCAGTGTGAGAGGTTTTCAGGGATGAGGATCATAATTTTAATATTTAGTAACTACTCGTTGACTGTGAAATAACCTTAGTCGAAAAAATAATCATTGTATTGAATTTAACAGTTTGCTAGGTTTGAAGCTATCACGAGTTCACTTAATCTGTAAACGAGAACAAAGACTCGGTGACCAAAGACCAATAAGCTAGATGTTATGATGAGTCCCAGCCCTGCCAACTAGAGAAAGAAGTCCAAACTTGGAATGGGGAAGTATACTCTGCAAACAGCCAGAAGCGAGCGATAACAACAAAACCAAATCAAAACGTATATAAACAGTACAAAACCGTCCTTGGGGAGAGTTACCAAATAGCATACTAAAAGGCGAAACGGACCAATAGCATTTAAGATATTACTAAATTAGGTCCTTTTCCGAGTGAGTTCTGGGGATCTAACGTTCCCAACACAGTTAGAACAATGATATTTACATTTTTCGGCTTAGTCAGGATTATGATTGATAAATTAATCATTTACAAATAAAAAATAGAACAAAATGAATAAATATAATATTGAAGAAGTAATGTGAGATAAATAAATACTAACAATAGATATGATTACAGTGAGAGTAGTCATTATTCAGAAAAGTCATCAAATATCAGTGAACAATTTACAGCAAACTATTATATAATGAATCTACACATACGTTTGTTTATTTACCTACATAAATACAAATACAATTATTTGTGAATAAATTTCTGAACTACGATTCATAACTATTTTGAGACACATTGAGGGAATGGACTATTGTTTCTTCTTTTAATTACCTAGTTCTATTTGATTATATATATATATATATATATATATATATATATATATATATATATATATATATATAGAGAGAGAGAGAGAGAGAGAGAGAGAGAGAGATTCATGAGCTGACCTCCTAGTTGTTCTATTCATGTACGACTCGTACATTTCATTACGTTACATCACAGTACTTCTAGAAAGCAAATATAAGAAGGATGATTAGCAACTGGAAAAGATTGTCCAGGACAGAGTTGGATGAAGATGACGGTGGGTGGTCTATGCTCTTCCACGAGAAGTAGCAGGCATAGGTAAGTAAGTAACTTTCCAAACAATTTTAGCAACACATGATTTAGCAAAAGCATAAGGAATTTCGATTCGATATTAATGAAGACATGTTTGACATAGTAGCCGTTGTTTTGATTAGTTTAAATAAATTTTACTGAGTGTGTATCTTTACTTTTTTGTTGTATGGCTAGAATGATAACATTTCTAAAAAACGGAATAATATCTAAGGTTTTATGTTTTATCGGTAAAATATTTATGTAGTGTAGGAAATAATGTAGAACTTAATCTTTAGTTACGACGTACAAATCATAATTACATAAAGTAAAATTTCATTCCATCTCTCTAGTACGATTTCGTTCTCGAAAGAAAGACAGTTTATGATTGACTACCAAATTAAATTGAATCAATGGAGCTTTGTTTACAGAAAACAAACCCACTGACAATGTCTGTATAAAGAAGAGGACAATCTGAGTTAAAGTAGTATTGTTGATAGCTCTGGATATTCCTTACTTATTTAGGTGCTGTCAACTATATATGTGCATTTTCTTTCGTCTTAGACTACAGATCTCTACTACGTTGAGCTTAGAGAAGTGGAGAGAGCAAATCCTACCCTTGATTCAAACACCAATATTGTAGTGAACACAACAACCATATATTAAATGCTCAATTTGCAAAATGTCCATCAACTGTCTCAAAATGACCCAGACTTTCTTCGTTCTTGCATTTTCACAAAAATTGCATTCTGTTTTCATTTTTTACTTTTCGGTCTTCTTGTCTCTCTGCTGCCAGACATTCTGTTCACGACTAACATCATATACTACTTATGTCTACATAAGTAGTACACACCACAGTGTGAAATGGGGAAAAACAAAACTACGGTTGACTGATAATAGCAAGTGTAATTTTTTTAAAGAATAGTACTTAGTAGTGCCTTGTGATGTCGGTTGCTATGTTAAGCTCACACGGCTTATTATAGCTTTCAAACAGATCAGTTTATTCATTCATCTTGAGTCACATTTTGACCTTGTTAATTATTTCCTCATCAACCTTGACTGTTTTTATATGAGCGTATGTGTGTGTACTTCTTATTATATTCATCACATGTCTGTAACTTATTTTCGTTCGACTATAAATGTCGATTCACGTTTGGTAAAATTGAGTTGGCTTGCTCGCCTTCTCCATTGCGTGTCATTCTGTTTTGTTTCGCTATCCATTCTCGTATTCGACATACTAGGTTCCGTTATTCACCAACACGATTTAGGACAATGATTATATACGAGGAACGGCAATATGTATATTTCGATAACAATCATTCATACGATCCGATCTAGAGTCAGATTTAGGGCCGCAACCTATCTTGGATACGTTGAAACTATCTTGATTTTTATTAACCAACTCTTAATAATGAATAAAAAACATTTTGGAAATCGTTTTCATTATTTATTGGTAAAAATATAAGTGGTTATGGGATTCTTCATGAAAGTATCATTTTGTATTCGAATTTTATTTTCAGCATTCACATATTTTAGAACAACATATATAAGCGAACAATATTGTTTTCGATTAGATCCTCATCAGGCTTTACTCTAATATACAGTAATATTTATATGCATTTAAAGTTATTTATCGTATTCCCACTAATTTTCCCTATGGTGTTTGATCTCGTCTCTTACACATAGCAGAAGCTATAGGAATTCGAGTCAACAAGCCGAGTCTTTGTGTTCAGAAGAAATTTGTAAGACCCTTATCTCTCCCTTGGCCTTAATAAATGAATTTATTTATTTTCTTTTTAAACCTTCTCTTCGTTTATTAATTCTTCTTCACCCCCTCCTACCATTTTATTTTTATTTTTTCACGGTTCAATTATCTGAACACTTCTCATTACGTCATCTTATAATAATTTTTATAAATGTTATCTCACTATCTATATTTTTCTAATTATAGACCTATTTCCGATTATGTAACATTGATTTGAGCCTTTATTATTCTTATAAAAAAAAACTAGTACATCTGTCATCACACTATCTATTTGTACTTTTCACATATTATATAATCGTTTTATTCATCGTTATCATTGATTTATAAACTACCTTGATTGGTTTAATAATTTCGTATATGCATATAAATATTACTGTATATTAGAGTAAAGCCTGATGAGGATCTAATCGAAAACAATATTGTTCGCTTATATATGTTGTTCTAAATTTACATTATGGGAATATTTCAAATTCACATATTTAATTAACAGTGCTGGATCAAGCGCATACATACATCGTTAATAGGAGGTTTGCATAGATGAATTTTCATAAATCAAGTCAAAAATTCGTATTATTCAGATAGCAATTGGAAACCGTGTGATTTAATATGCGAGAATATATGTATGTTTGAAATAAATTGGTTGATATATAAAAATTTAATTGGTCAGTAAAACAACAAACTAACCTGTCGGATAACGATCTATGAAGCACACTTGATTCAACTCGTCTGTCTGGAGCATTAACTTGTCGTCGGAAAAGAGATTTAAGCTTGAAAAATAATTTTGAAACTCTATGATCATTTTGCTTATTTAGGCATGGTTTAACATTTTCCATACATTTCCCCTGTCCGCTTAAAGAATTGGAGTTTGAATGTTTCCAATTTTTATTATGTTTGTTATGACATGTATCATGATCACTTGAATAGGAATAAAAATTAACTAGAGCATTTCGTGATTTGCGAATAATAGGCATGCACAAAGAAGCTAGTACCGAAACCAGGATCACATTCATTGGAATTCCAACAGTAACCAGGAATATACAAAATACTTTGCCGTATATAGTAACTGGACTGATTGTTCCATAACCTAGAAAATTTATTCAAAAATCAAGCATTTATACTGACAGTGATAACATTAAAATGTTCATTTTCACGAAACTTGAAAAATAAAACATAACTGAGCATTATTTTATTTGACCTGATTAGTTTCACATTCTTTTAAGGTATTTCACCGTTGAAATTAGTTTCTTTAAGTAAACGATATGGAAGACAAATAGAATAAGCGAATAAACAAAATCGGTAAACGTGAGATAACATTTTATGATCACTATACCTTATATCTCAATAATGTGACTGCGTATAATAAGATGATGCTTAAGATACTGAAGCATGCTTCCTATTTTTTTAGATGCCAAATAACATATGAAAGAAATAAAAATGAAAAAAGTCAAAACTAATGGTTTAAAGCAAAAAGGTTTTGGGAAATAAAATTGTCAAATGACTGAACCAAATTAAGTGGTATATGAAAATAAACCAATTATCATAAGTAGATATTGGATAATGATAATCAAGTACTCAGATATGATATATACTTCACGGTTAAACCATTTACAAATTATTTTTCTCGAGATTTTATCAGTGGCTCTCAACACACCGGATTCTCTAATCATATAATCATTAGATGAGACTTCCTGTCGATGAACTATTTTTCGCGAAAAACGAATCATTTGTCGAAAATTCACAACACAACATCGGAATAATAAGTTTCATTTCTTGGGTTATACTACTCAATGAACTGTATATAGTGATACATTGTAATAATATATTCCCTGCAAATATCTGTGAAATGGTGTGTTTTATTATAAAATATTTTGTCTAATAAGTTACAAAAATAAATTTGCGAACTCTTCTTTAAGATGTAGTTTGAGTAGGAACCCATGTTTAACAACGTTTATGCAGATTACGTGTGCGCGGAGATTCATAAATAAGTGAAAGAAAATACGAACAAACTATATTCAGAATACAACTACCTCTTAATATCTCTGCTTCAGAAGTAATATCGTGAACAGAATAATTAACTGCGAAATAAATGCCTTGGGGAAGATTGTCTATTTGGCTTCTGCTTTTTCGTTTGCTATTAGATGAACGTATCTCCCAAACAGTTAAATACTGACCATTTTCATATTAACGTCAACTGCATTTATCAAATAACTTATGCCAGCCAGATCACATGAACTTGAGTAAAAAAGAGGTTACACGTTCGTATTTCTGAGCTTCTTTCGTATAAATTCCTACTCAAAGGTTCGAAATCCTTTAACAATGCAATAACTTACCTGTTTGTTGATAGCAGTTAAATTGTTTTATTTATGCCTTTTAAAATAGTTACTGAGTAGAGTGATGTGAGTTTTTTGGGTTCTAATTAATTACTTGCTATCATGAGACTTAAAACTAGCTTATGGATTAAAAAAAGAGTAATTTATCAATACCAATGTAATTTGAATTTTTGATTACCCTGCTTTAAAAAACTTTATTATAGGATACTTACTAATTCATTTATTTAAAGTCAAGTAAATCTTATCAAACGTTTTAAAAATAACTAATCTCGTTTAATTTCTTATTGTTAGGTAATTTTTTATCATAATATTTCTTCAGTTTTTCCATAACATTTTTAATGATCCTATCTCATTGATAGCAATTGTTATTTACAATATTCACAGTCTCCAGTTTTGATTATGTATTATCATATTATGTTTTAATCAAACCAATGCAAATTTTTTTAAATTGGTTACTTTTGTAGGCAGATAATTAGAATTCATAATATATAAAAATAATGCAATGTCATTTTAACTCATATTTTATTGATGTTATTTCCAAAACTACGAAGTGAAATGATTGCGCAACACATAAAATAGTAATTGGCAGTTCATTTTGTTTGTTAAAAATATTAAAATATCACACAGTAACATAAACTATACAAAAATATCAAATAATACATTTCAACATTTTTCTATATTTGACCTTAAACAGTTATACTTCATTTTGAATTCATTTACAAATATTAAACTATGATATAAACATTGTCTAATCTATTCAAATTGTTTTTGTTATATTCATATGATGTAATTATAAAGTTATTCATTCATTTCAGAAAATGTTGAATTTAAATAATCGACTGGAAATTCACATTTTATGAATTTATTTAATACATTTTTATCGTAACAAGTCTTGTCATTATAAAGCTTAATTATTGACAAGCATCACTTATCATATGCCTATCCTCTTTCATCTTTATTATTTGATCAAATGCTATACTTGAGCATACATAATGATGTCTTAAAATGATGAACTAAGTATCATTTATTGATGTTTAGATTATGAAAATATAGTAAAAAAAGCCTCATAAAAAAGATTATAGAAAAGTGCTTTTTCGGCGTAACCCATGATTTTGATCGACTTAAGAAATGACTAAATTGACTATGAAGTATTTTGATGAATTCATTTGAAATAATCAAATAACTAAAATAAGCATAGAAAAAAACAGCTCTTGATTCTCACTAATTTAAGATCGATGAAAATGATGAAACCAAATTTTCGATTTGGAGCCTGTCACTAATTTCACTATGGTATATTGCTATGCTAACGAATAGCTGACTTATTAGTCACTTATTCTTTTCCAAAGCAAGTGAATTCCCTTGTCTAAGCTTATATATATATATATATATATATATATATATATATATATATATATATATATATACTGTGAAAAAATGAAAACTACCTATTAAAAGAGCTATATTTTTCCTGGTTTTGTCAAAAATATTAATAAAAATATGACATTTTCAAATAATAGATCTAGCACCATATGTAATGATTAACCGCTTAGTTCCATAGTTGTATTGGATTAGCAAATCGATTAGAAGTATGCAGGAAGCTAAGAGACTGACATAATTCTGGCTTTTTTTAGCTTGAAAAAAAGTGCTGTTTAATAGATATTCTATAAGACTTTACGAATTCTTGTATACTATATGCGTGATGGCTTCAAATTTCTGTAGTTTAATATGTTATAAGGTTTGGTGATAACGAGAGATTGGTTTGACGATTTGACTTATCAATATTAAGTCTAATGTTATTTGGTGATTCATGTTTACACTAAGCAAATAGATCAGTTCATGTTTCAAAAACTTTTGCGACCTACGACAGAGCACACTATGACGATCATCAGTATAATGACGAATTTCAAACTCCATTTGACCTCGTCAAATACTAGTTAAAACGATATGATAGCAATGTTTGAAGGAAGTAACGAAGTACATGATTTTGGTGACCAGAATTGCTTGATTTTTTATTTTTGTTAGTGTACTCAAGCGTCAAAATTATAAAAAGATCGGTACGAGAGTATGAATATACTTTAATGCAAATTTTCCTCGATAGTTGAATTTGAGAGCCTGGAACTTGTTCAGTGCATGAGGAGTGCATTGGATGCGATCATGGCGTATCATATATATTATATTCCTCCTCACCCAAACAAATCGTCTACCCGTTTCATCAACAAGTTGAACGTAAGATAGTGGTAACTCCACCTGTAACACTTCTAAGGTAACTGACTGTTCAAAGCCTGGGTAAATGGGAAACGTTTGGCATGGGATTAGCATCCCAATCCCATGGGAAAAAACTTTTCTAAAAAATGCGCTAACCAGAATAAACAAATTAAACCATTGAAGCATTCCCCTCCGAGTTGATAGAAGAATTATAAGGCCTCATGGTAAAAACCGAGATCATTTAGAAGTCACGAGGCCGATGCTCAGTTTGAAAATAATAATAGTATATTTCTGTAGGGGCAGAAGAAAAACTAGTGGAATGTTAGGACAATGTAAGTGACCGAGAAGACCAACCAAATAGCTACAAAAAATGAGGGGATACAACTCGGTGGTGCTCGGAATAAGTGAAACACATTGGAAACAAGTTGGACAAAAAAGGATAGATACGGGAGCGATGCTGTTGTACTCTGGTCAAGAAGAAGAAAATTCTCCATACACATGGAGTTGCTCTGATGCTGTCCAAACAAGTACATAAAGTTTTTATAGGATGTTAACTTCAAGGAGCCAGAATCATCGAAGCATCTTTCAAAACAAAGAAGGAGGGAAACACAATGAATGTTATTCAACGTTATGCACCCACCAATTATAGCAACGACGACGGTGAAGGTCAGATTTACAAGAAGCTGCAATCAATCATATCGAAGTGCTCAGGAAAGGACCCGACCATCTTGATGGGAGATCTAAATGCATAAGTAGGAATGGACAACACCGGGTATGAAGATATCATGGGACGACATGGACTGACTAGAAGAAAGGAACGAGATTTGCAAATTTACGTGCATTCAACAAAATAGTTATAGGCGGCACAATATTCCCACACAAACGCATACAAAAAGCTAGCCACATGGGTCTCACTGGACCGCATTACACACAACCAGATCGACTGTATTTCAACCACTAAAAAATTCAGAAGGTCAATAGAAGACATGAGAACCAGCACAGAGGCTGACATAACTACGTATCACCACCAATTGGTGGTTACCAACATGGAACTGAGACTAAAAGAGCACTGAACAACTGGGGAAACAGCATTACAAAGGTTCAATACAGCGTTCCTTCAAGATACTGTCAAACTCAACCGACTCAAGATAGCTGTCAACAACAGATTCCAAACCCTACAAGATCAACTGAAACGAGAAGAAATCACCATGGACGATAACTGGAAAGACATCAAGGAAGCACTAAGTTCAACGTGTCAGGAAGTGCTGAACTTCAACAAGAATCATCATAAGGAACGGATCCCTATCGAAACCCCGGACAAGATTCAAGAAAGTGAGAACAAGAAGACAACAACTAACAACAGCCGAACAAGAACAGAGCAAGTCAAGGCACAAGCTGGATTCACTGAAATAAACAAGCGATTCAAGGGCAGAATTAGAGCCGACAAGCAGAAATACGTGGAAGAACTAACAATGGCTGCGGAAAAAGCTGCAGCGGAACGAAATATGAAACAACTACATGACACAACGAAGAAACTAACAGGGCAATGTGGTAAACCAGAGAGAGTGGCCAAAGACAAAGAAGGCAAGTCAATCACTGAGATTCCAGAATGGAGAAAAAGATGAGTGGGACACCGTGTGGAACTCTTGAATAGGCCAGCTACATTGAATCCACCGGACACCGAAGCAACACACACGCACACCTTCCTGTAAATGTCGCTCTACCAACGATCGAAGAAATCAGGATGTTCACCAGACAAATTAGGAGTGAGTAAGCAGCAGGGCTTGACAATATACCAGCTGAAGCACTGAAGTCACACATAGAAGTAACTGCAAACATGCTTCACGTTCTATTCGGGAAGATTTGTGAGGAAGAACTAGTGCCACCGACAGACTGGAAGGAAGGATATCTCATCAAGATGCCAAAGAAAGGAGATCTGAGTAAGTGCGAGAAATACACGGACATCACACTGCTGTCAGTACCAGGAAACGTTTTCGGCAGAGTGTTGCTGAACAGGATGAAAGATTCAGTAGACGCCAAACTTCGAGATCAACGGATCGGATTCCGTAAGGTTTGGTCGTGCACAAACCAAATCGTGACACTACGGATCATCGTTGAACAATCAATTGGATGGAATTCGTCACTGTTCACCAACTTCCTTGACCAGGAGAAAGCAATCGACAGTGTGGATAAGAGAAGTTTATGGAACCATCTTCGACAATATGATGTACTTGAGGGAATGGCCAACATCATCCGCATTCCATACGACGGACTACACTGCAAAGTGGTGTATGGAGGACAGTTGACAAATGCATTCCAAGTAAAGACCGGAGTCAGACAAGGCTGCCTACTCTCCCCCTTTCTCTTTCTTCTATTGGTTGACTAGATTACGAAGACCTCCACATATGATGGGAAGCACGGAATACAACGTAAAGTATGCGTGCAACTAGACGATTTGGACTTTGCAAATGACCTAGCTCTTCTCTCCAATGCACACCCACATGTGCTGGTTAAGACACTCAGTGTAGTAACAGCCCCTGCAGCAGTAGGCCTCAACACAAAGAAAGCAGAAACCAATACAACGTAAAGTATGCATGCAACCAGTTCATTTGCGTTTCTTCACGAAAAGCCAAAGATGTAATTACGTAAGTGGGTAAATCATTAGTGATTTTGACCGACATTAATTGAAACGACCGAAATGCCAGTACCCGGTTTGAACGCAGCACTGAAGAACCAAAATGTATTCGAATGGGCCAGACTACGCTCTTCTGTATAGCTTATGTAGCGTTTTTTGACACTCGTATGAAAATATATCAAAACGCAAACTCTGTGTTCTAATTAAGAAATAAAACAAATAATATCAGAAATACCAAATATCTCAAACGGTACAGCCTGTGCTATAGTCAGAAGTTTCTCTAGCGCAAATTAGCGCGCTAAACAATAAAAGAAATAGTTAGTACCAGAGGGTTTGATACCTGAGAATCAATAAAATTATTCCCAACAAAATGGGATCAAATGTCTATCTGCATGGATTCCGGAAATCCTCCCAAGCAGACAGTCATACACTGAATCACAACATGACCTTGAGCTTAGTCAAACACGACCTTATTGTCGATAATTCAGCAACATGCAATAAAAAATTAGGTAACAAAAAGAAAAGTTTTTAATCAAAATCACATAACAAAAGTTCAAACGAGATCTGAACAAAGGTTAAAATATATGACAGGGAGAAGAAACAAATAAATAAAATGATTGTCCAACAAAAAGGCTGTGGAGGGATTTTCATCGTTCTCTTTCCGTTACACAAAGCTTCTAAAAATTCTCTGGTGTTTTTGAAATTTTCCTCTGTCCAAAATGACGGAAATCACGGAATACAACGTAAAGTATGCGTGCAACTAGACGATTTGGACTTTGCAAATGACCTAGCTCTTCTCTCCAATGCACACCCACATGTGCTGGTTAAGACACTCAGTGTAGTAACAGCCCCTGCAGCAGTAGGCCTCAACAAATAGAAGGCAGAAGCCAAGATCCCCAAATATAGTAAGGGGAACACCAACACAATCACACTTGGTGGAGGAACTCTGGAAGAGGTGGAAACTTTCACGCACCTGGACAGCATCATTGACGAACAAGAAGGATTCGATGCAAACTCAAAGGCAATGATTGGCTAAGCAATGACAGCATTCTTACAGTTGCAGAACATACAGAACTAAAAACAACTGTCAACCACTACCAAAGTCAGAATCTTCAATACGAACTTCAAGATAGTTCTACTGTACGGAGCTGAAACTTGGAGAGCTACCACAACCATCATCAGAAATGTACAAGTATTTATAAACAATTGTCTACGTCAGATACGCAATGTCCGTTGACTTGATACCATCAGCACCAGTCTACTGTAGGAGAGAACAAACCAACTTTTAACTGAGGAGAAAATTAGGAAAAGACACTAAAAGTGGATAGGACATACGTTTCGGAAATCATCAAAATGCATCTTGAAGCAAGCACTAACCTGGAATCCTGAAGGGAAACGGAAAAGAGGAAGGTCAAAGAGTACATTGCACTGGAAACTGGAAGTAGACATCGAAAGAGTAAACAGCAATTGGGAAGGACTGTCCAAGACAGAGTCGGATGGAGAATGCTGGTAAGCGGCCTATGAGTCTCCACGAGAAGTAACAGGCGTAAGTAAGTAATTAATTTCTAAAATTCATTCATTTATTCCCTCGCATGATACAATTGTTAATATTCCCACCTGTTTACATCATTTCTTTCCATTAGACTTTAAGCTGGTAAGTAGCTTTTCAGTTTTAATGATTAGATTTCAAATTTTTCGGGATCAGTTTATTCATTATTAAGAAGATGGAATATTGTAAAAATAATGGGTATAGTCTCATTTTAAATTACTTTTTAAACATTTAACAATACTAAAATTAATATAAAAGTAATCCGAGTGGAGAAATATGCTTTTGTGTAATTAATATGTACAAATAAGTTTCTTATATCATATGATTTTAAAAACATCACAACTATAGAACAATAAGTTCCAGCTATATGTGGTTTGAAATTCGTGAAACAGAGTAAGCATCTATACTGATAATGCATATGGTAAATCGCTAAATATTGATTTCATTGCTCTGAGTACACATATTAATTATCTTAATGAAAATATTGGATATTTAATTCGTCTGTAACCAGTTGTTTTATTTCTCTTATACATTAATAGAGTGATAAGTGTCTTTGTCAAAGATATTTTAGCCGTGTTACTAAAACAATGTTTTAAAATAAAACGTCAAAGTATTTTCTTGTTCAATGTCCATAAATTATTAATGCCTTCCAAGTTAACATAAACTTTTTTATCAACGGTTCATTTACTACTATTACTTATGATCATGAAAAGTTTTTCTCTTACGGATAATCAACGATTAGACTGGTTAATAGCACTCAAGATAAAAACGATTTAAATAATTGATCTTTTCGAACTGAATATGCAAAAACTTGCGATTGATGAAGATTTCTAATAAACAGATCGTTCAGTATTGTTATCACATTTACGAACAAAAATTTGAAGTTTATGGCTGTTTACAAGTGCAAAGTCACTTGATAAGCAATGAAAATACTATACTTTAAAATCAAATATATGTAAACAAATTGTTTTTAAGTCTTTGAAAAAAGTAAATTTTTTCTGCGTTAAATATCAAGTAATAAAACATTTTGAATAAAATATCAATATTAAGATGGGCTTGAATAATCCCGTTGTTGAAATATAGGAATGTATTTTGACCGGTTCTTGTTGGTACACGCAGACGGACGGATAGTGGCTAGTATTGAAATCTGGGAGCTGCGTTTTGGCGTAAAATGTAGTAGACTTGAGTCTTAATATGAACGTGAACACTGAGATTCACGTTCAACATGAATAGGATCCTTGGATCTTTGGATCACAATGCTGGTCATAATCATCTTGTCCTATGAAATTCTTTCAATAAAAGTTCACATTTCGACTAATTTATCAGTTTTTACTGCCTAAATTATGATTATTTTCCAGTGACATGAATGCGGAAATCTGTTACTTAATATATCCACGTTAATCGTGATACTATTTTAATCTTACCTATAGTTGTAATAACTGTTATCACAAAAAATACTGATTCATAAAAGTTCCAACTGCTGTTATTTATTTCTTCTTCAGTTAGAATACGTCTAGCGATTGATTCCAGTTGAGCATTTACTTCAGCATTGGTTTCTAAATAAAAATTTTCGTGCCAATTTTCAGGAATGCTCAGTAAGTCATATTTGCTGATATTTTTAATTGGTGTCATTGATATACCCATTTTTGTGGCTGATACAATATAACTAACAAACTTCTCAAGTTCTTCACCTTGAAGAAGAATAAGATAAATATACAATCTTGGTGATTTAATTAGTCTTAATAAGTAAAATATTTTTATACACACTAGTATTTATCATATGCCATCAAAAAAAATCAAAATGAAAACTCATGTCTGTCGGAGCTCAAGATTGATCATTTTCACCTATTGATTTCAAAAAAATCAATGCTCACAATGACATACTTCACAATGGTGTTTCAATGAAAGTTAAAATTACTAGTTATTTCTAAATCTGCACTGAAATGTATTTTTTCTGGATATTTTCGGATGTTATACATTTTTTTCATAATTTTTGTCAGGTTTTTGGAATTACGTGTAAAATTACTCCACAGTTTTATAATAAACCACCGTAGATAAGAGAAATAAGGTTTAAAAATCTAGGCTATCAGCGAAAAAAACTATGCGTTTACAAGTTTTTTAAGTTATGATTCTTTAATTTGATAACACTATGTATTTGTGTGGAAACGATGTACAAAAAGAGTATTGACACGAAGAGACCGAATATCATTATTGTTAGACTACCAATGAATAAATATGAAATTTTTTTGGAAATATTAATAACAGTAGTACTGATAAGGAAATCGCAATGACTTATCCGGTTTCATATAGAAAGAAAGTCATTACTAAAGTAAAACTAAGAACTAGATGTGGGCTACATTCACTATACTGCAAGTTAAAAAGTGACTATTGTAAGGCAATGAACCTACGTGTCCATAGAACTTCATCTGTTGAATACGATTACCAGTTAGTTGGACACCTTCATGTAAATTAGTTAGGGTATGCGTCTGTTACAATTCGTGTTTGAGACTAAAAAGGTACATTTAAACTTAAAAATTATGTCGGGAGAACAAGGAATTAACTCATGTTCAAAATGACATTTATTGTTCAGGTCGTAAACGAAATGGTCAACCTTTAACTTTAAATAGTCGTTGAAAACAGTCACAGGTATTCTGCATAAACAATCGTTACTTATTTCGTTTTATTTTATTAATAGTGATTTTTTCTTAAAATTCCCTATTCTATAGATTGGCGTATTAATGAGACCTCAGTCATTCATTAACTTTTAGAATACCACCAATAATGAAATCTGACACAAAGCAAAAAATTACTGAATAACAAATATACATATATTACTTGATACACATGGATTAGTCCTCAAAAAATTGATTTGTGAAGCGTGTAAGCGCAATCTTTCTAGTCTTTCTGTAGGTCGTTCTAGTAGGGTTAAACAAAGTGCACCAAGACAACAAAATGATATATAGGCCATAATGAATAAAATTAATGGCAGTTTCTTATAGAATTCAGAGTGTTTTGAGGTTGTTTCATTTTTGTTCCAAGATAGTATTGAGTTATTATCTTGTTCTGGCCATTCATTTTCATGATAATCTTGGTTACCAGTCATATTCAGAGTAGAAGTTCTTGGCTAGAATTCGCTTTTTTTCAACAACTAGATACCTAAAGTGAAGAAAATAAATTGTTTCTATTATATATCTGATGTTTATTTCTAAAATAAGTCTACAGAGACCTAAGTTATCAAAATTTTAATATATTATGATGGCATAATACCTTCTAATGAATATAGGATGAACTTAAACATAGATATTTACTAATAAGTAACATTCGCCTATTATTTTATTTAGACAAGAAGTACCTTTGTAAAGCAAAAACAACAAGTGACATTAGTTAGAAAGATTCGCTAAAACTTTAAAAATATTTGTGATTAGTTGATAAAATTTTAAGCCAGTTTTTGAATCAACTACAAAGTCAAGTTAACAATTATAGTTACTCAACTCATATCTAATGTTTGTAAGATATCAAATTGTTACTCATTTGGATATAGTCAAATAAAACTATGGACCCATTGAGGTGGTGGAGAAGATTTGTAGCTCAGGTGGATGATTTTGATAGAGTTTTGTTCTCTGAGCTGGATGGTTTGGTCATGGAGCTTTCATCGTTCTTCTGAACGACATCATCAACACAAACTTCAGGTTTAAGTGAAGTGTCCGAATTTCTCCACACGTGGTTCGGAGCTTGTCCTGAAGACCTTTCGGAATAGGTGTTGCACAGCAAATCAACAAAATCACCACAATCAATCCTATGTAAACCAAAGGATAAAATGACGAAATATGAAAAACCGAACATAATATCCAAAATAAATTGTGCCAACTGCGTAAAACACTACATTGGACAAAGCGGGTGCCCTCTTCATCGTTACCTGCATGAACATCAACAAGCGGTCAAAGGCCATGACATATCCTCACATATATCAATGCACGTGGACAACTGCGGACACATTCGAATGGAAAATGTGGAAATCTTGAATAAAGGCTTTTTTAAAAACACCAGAGAATTTTTAGAAGCTTGACACTCAGGTCAATTAGCAATCAACGAGTATATTGAAATAGATCCAATTTATCAACCAGTCACGAAAATTATGGACAAATATGGGACCAAAAATCAAACCAATGGGAGATACAGCCAAAACAAAGAAATAAACAGATTTAAGGTCAACAAGAACCAATCAACACAGAGGTCTACAGGACAAGCTGCGAAGCATATGTGGAGAAATCTGAACACTTTACTTCTACCTGATGTTTGTGCTGATGATGTCGTTCAGAAGAACGATGAAAGCTCCACGACTAAACCATCCAGCTCAGAGAACAAAACTCTGTCAAAAAAATATGGACCTATTTTTTGTTATACTTAGGACCCTCCAACAAGGTATATATGAAATGGTGAGAAAACTGATTCTCTCCATGAGTTCAAATGCACATCATCCAGCTTCACAGCCAAGACTGACCTCCTCTAGGACGGAAACATTTACAGTCGATAGATCACTGAGTAATGACAATTATCATACTTTCCTAGTCTTTTACAGATGAGTGAGTTCGATTGACAAGTGTTAATATCTTGTAGAATTAAAGTTCATTCTCAATAAAACGAAGTTCATCAAAGTTATAAATTGGTATGACGTGATAAATACTTTTAATTTTTATATTTGTATTTCATATGTATTAATCCTAATGCGACCACATACGACATAGACAAAGCAACACGTCTGTGTGTTATAAGGTGACTGATTAACTCTCATTTCAGGATAAAAAAAATACTTACGTACATTTCAACAAATATGCATTTATAGAAAAGTTTTCAATAAATTTATTTCTAGCGATATGTAAGCACTACTATTACTATAAACCACAACATTATTTACATAGTTGGATATTTCAGCAAGCAGATAAGGCAGGGGCTATGAAAAGTAAAAAATAAATGGCCAGCTGGACATAATTAGTGTCTTTAAGTACATTAAGCTGAAAAGAAGGCAACATGCAATGTAATACGAACAAAGATTCCACATTAAACATAAAATAGACTTATTGGAAAAGATTTCTGTAACAAACTACTGGTTCTCTAATCTCATAATTATGATGAGTGTATGTACGAATTGAGCTATTTATATTGAATAACCTATTTGGGTACGAAAATGTCCAATAATCGATTACTTATAAACTTGGTCCAGAAACACCAGGTGAAACTTCTTAAATTTTGTTTACTGGTTTATTTATTAAACACTGAAAGCCGAACATTTATTGATTTAACGGTCACTAGAGTTCGCTGTTCATCAATTAAGTTACGCAACAGCATCCGTCAACCCCGTCTTTATACACAAGAGACCATCTCAACAAGTTTACTGAAGACAGAACTGTTCCTTCTTAATTTCCTCACCAGGGCTTACATTCATAGTAATTTCGACGTGCTTCTTCACTTCACCCATCTTAAATTTGGTCTTAATTTGTACAAAAAATACTAGTGAGTATTTCACTGTTGAAGTTATAAATGAATTTCGAAAATTCCAATGACTTTTTAAAATGGATTTTCAAATATTTACTTCTTTATCAGTAACGATTACTTCATACCTCTTTTTCCCCTGATACTTCTCCAGACTAAGAACAACAAGATTTGAAGAGTAAATTGAAGTAGTTCTGTTGTAAATATTCTCATCAATAACAAACATTTTGAGGTTGTCATACTTGTGTGGTATAGAACTATATGATTGAACCATGTGATCACTCTATTAGTGCTCCAACACAATTCGTAAACAAAATCAAAGATGAACCGCCAACACAGCAAAATAATGGTATTTTTTCTGTGTTTCAGCTCTGTCCACTTCAAAGGAAACAGAACACACCAAAGATACTATTTTACAAATGTTAAGCAATAATCAACAACTCTCATAAAACACAAAAGCATGATCAGAAACCTATGACAAAATATTTTTGCTAGCTGTCAAATTTATGGACAGATTAAGGTTCGTTGGGGTCACCCCTATTATGGCTAATCAATGAAACTATTATTAAACGATTACGTTACATTTCTAACAGTTATCAAACTAAGGATTTAAATATACTGTCCGCGCAATACATTTTATTACTCTCAATGTGCTCATTCTAATACACTCAAAAAACTAAAGATGATAATGTAATTGGCAAAACGCCGGAATCGTGAGTAGATAAAATTTAGAAGATGTAAGGTACATCCAGCTGAAGAGTCTCAAATAAAACAAAAAGCGCGTCCTGGACTCCACTGCTAGTCAATATCCATCTCTGCCCATGACTAAACTCGGTATCGGGGCAATCCGCGCAGGATGGGCATTTGTCAATAAGAGACTGATCAATTGCAGTCTTAAACATCAATGGAAAGATCCAAACAACCCGTATAAAAATAAACTAGAAATAAACGTTTCACATACTTTAACAAGAGATAGGATTCCACACAGTTGAGACATAAAAAAGACACTCAACACTGTAGCTGAGATTTGTGCAAACTTATATGAATAATCTAACCGCAGAAAGTAGGGGGGGTGAAATAGAAAGTAATGGCTGCAAGAAAAACATGAGATCATGCAACTAAATTCTGTAGTTAAAAGAAACATGGCAAAATGGTTACAATATTCATCTGAAATCTACTCAAAGTCACAATCAAAATGTTTATGTTTCACATGATCCAAATGGGTAGACGACAGTACAACTTGACTCAAATATATTGGTAAGTACTACCGTAGAACGTCCAAAGAAGACAAAACTCCCAATCCTTTCTGTGTTTTCCCTGGAGTAATAATGTGTGACTGGGAATTTTAACACCCAGTACAAAAGAATAGACCCACAAGAACAATTGCATATAACCATTAATTTTACTAGTATAGAAATTTGAACTTATGTCTATAGTTTTCAATCACCTAGTGTATTTTTTAATTTTACATCTTTGTGATCTCACAAAAGTTTGTTTTTTAAACTATTTAAACGGTTTACCCTATTAAAACACATCAGACCAAACCCTACAGATTTTACAAACAAAGCAGATTTTGTTGTTCATAATAAAAAAACTTTTAAACAAATTGTTTGAGAAGCTATAACTATCATCAGTTTTTTTAATTGCGCTAGTGGATAAGTACAGCGATAATATTTTTAATAATAATGATAAGACGCAACCATTCATAGAGCCATTTTACTCAACTATAACCCTTAAGGTTTCTAGAGCTACTCAGTTAATGGGGTAAAATGATCATCAGCATCTCTCATTCTCAAACGTTTTGACTATGGCTACAGTTCTAGAACGTTTGTTTTGTATGACCGATAAGGCACAACAAAAAGCTAAAAACTATTTTAAAACATGTTCCCTTACATTGATGTAATTTCATGAAAGTCAAAGCAATGTGTTCAATAAATGACTAAATAATCCATGTTATACATCTTCATTGAAATACTTGCTACATTGCTCAATAAAGTCGCTAAATAACCGGACAATTAAGGTTGAAGAATACTAGTAGCCAAAGCCTAATTATATTACTGACCTTACTGAAATACAGTAAAGATAATGTGCTTTCTATAAATAATCAACCGCAATACACAACCATTCTTTTTTTTCAGCATCATCTATAAAAAAGTCTTTCATTTTATCCCCAATCGCCAGATTTTAGTCACTCAGGAACATATACCATCAATAAAATTTCCTTCGTTTTGTATAAATTTTATAATGTTTATGTTATCAGTATTTTTCTGCTTACTTTATCGTGATATACGTAGACAAGCTCTAAAATTCCGGATTTGCGATGCCTTTAAATCTGACTTCAAACAACAAGTTTCAATAATTTTAAGAGATCTGGATCTTTTGGTTGAGGTCCACGACGCACACACAGTGTGCAGCTAAGCTCATGAGTAACGCAACTTATGGTGGCTGAAAACGATGCTCGTGAGTTTATTCTTTATTTTCTTTTGATACTTGGACTGAAAACAACAGCATATGTTTTGCATATCCGTTTTATCTCTTTTCAAATTATATAGTCATGGTTTGAAATACTGGGTGAATTGACTGAGGGTATGCTTTGATATCTAATTTCACCCAGAACAAAAGCATGTCCAAAAATAAAAGCATAGTGCACGCAATATAGTTTTTCTAAAACCATTGCCCAAATTTCGACCCAGTTTATAAGATTCTGTTGTTATTAGGAATTGAACAATCAATACGGTGATGATAAATCACTTGTCAACCAGTAAAACTTAAGGTTATCCACAAACACGCTTTTAAAGGGTAATTCTTATTTCTGAGTAAAATCTACGTTAACTAGTTAAATCAAGAAGACATTTGAAATAAAAAGCGTGACTCATAAAACAAAACTTCCGAAATGTATCATGCTATAAAACAAAAGCTAATAAATTAGGATTTTTCAATAGTACCGAGTTAAACAACAAATAGTCCTGTATCGTACGTGAAATTATCTTTACAGAACCCCATTTATTAAACGATGAATGAAATACACCTTGGAAATTTATTTTATGTGACCGGGTCAGTTTTTATATCAAACTCAGAGGATATCAAAATATATATGAAGAGACTATAGTAGAACCAACATACTTCCACGATTCAGAAAAAGCGGACGTAAAAAGTATTATCACAACCCACTGGTTACAATTAACACAAACTTGTTTTTAAAATTTGATTAAGAGAAATGTTATTTGAGCTAACAGGGTTTTTCTCAAATACTAAGTAGCATAAGACTCTTTCAGCTAACAAAGTCTGTCGTGATTTAAAAAGACTGCTTTGAGCTGTGATTTTATTTTGGGTATTGGTCTAGTCTAAATCTTGAATTTAATCGTGCTTAGTATTGCTGAATACGTTTATTCTTGAAAGGATGAAACTAAAGTTATTTGATAGGCTACCGATAGATTGCTCAAAAACACCAATGTAGACTGAGGAACTCTTTGCCTAAAGAGGTAAAGCAATTGTGATTGGCAGGCATTCTTGATATATTCTGTATCTGGATCCTCAACTCTCTCTCTCTCTCTCTCTCTCTCCTCTTATATATATATATATATATATATATATATATATATATATATATGATTCGATTATATATCAAATGAATTTGTTATATATTGGCTATAAGTATTGTTGAACTGATTATATGGGTGATTTTGGTACTTGAATCGCTAAAAGCGGTTTCATCAAGGGATCTGTGGATTACCTTTAGACAAAAAATGTAATCCTTCGCTCGAAATTCCAAATGGGTGGCATGCGTATTTCTTAGTGTTTTGTACTCAAGCATCAAACACGCAATAAGTAATCGAAACTACATCAGGAACGAATTCATGATAAACATGTGAAACTCGGATATTTATAGACTTTTAACAAAGGACATACACATGTGCTACATCACGTATACGAACGGATAGTCTGTTAACTGTCGAATAATCTAGCTAACAATATGATCGCTCCAGACAGCCTTAAGGAAAAATAACAAGATTGCGCACATTTCTACGTCGAAAATGCAGTCAACCTTTACTTTAGTCTACTCTTGAACGGAGGAAAACATTAATAACCAAACAAATACTTAAAAGTATAATAGGTGACTTCAGTAGCCGAATCCCAATAGAATGAATTTCTCCTCATTCGTTCTGCAGCTACCTGAGGTATTCAAGTTCAACTGAATTTTCAAATAACAAGACTCAAGTTACTATAACCAAAACCCTACCCTCCATTTTTGACAGAAACACTATAATAAACTAAAAGCTTCGTTATCTTTAAAAATATACGAAGAGTGAACAGCTTTAAAATATTTACTCGTGGAGATTGGAGATCTAATTATCCGGAAACCAAGGTCTTTCCTCACATGTGAACACGAAAAGTGCCTAAGTAATCATAAACGTGCACGAAAAAAGGTTTGACGGAGTGATTTAAAACAAAACTGTTCGAATCTAAAGTGCATATGGCGAATGTTCTAACACCGTTACCAATTAACAATTTTATATTAATAAATTCGTTTCTAAATTGCGTGGAAAACTTAATGAATAGCATTGCTGCTTATGGGAAGCAATATTTAATCCTGGACAAAATTTTTGCTACTAGTTAAAAAGGTCTTAGAGCTGGAGTAAAATCGAACATACAGTCGGAGATTAATGATTTGTTATTAATCTTCCACCCATAAGGTAGACTGAAACTAATTGCAAGTTACTCCAACAGTCATCTTGATGTTATGTTGGATTCATTAAGTATGGCGAGAAGGCCTATGGAATTAGTTATTCCTTTTCTAGTATGCTTCCATGGGTGTCTAGTCTTCTCTTGACTGAGTCAATTGAAGGTGCGGACATTACTGCTTAGGGTAACAGGTCCCAAGAATTGATGACTCAGTGTGAAAGCCTGTATGTCACGGATAATTTATCCGTTCTAGGCTTTTCTACTCGCCTGCATTATCCTCTGAAATGTCCCGATCTAGTGGGAAGAAAAAGAGAGGATATGTTAAGCCAAAAATCATTTCTTGGTATTCTATACACCAACAGGAGATCACCTCTTAGTCTGCGATAGCACAGAGTAAAGAGGTCTGGCCATACAACCTGGAATGGTGGAGAAGATTTGAAGCTCACGTGGATGATTTTGATGGAGTTTTGTTCTCTGAGCTGGATTGTTTAGTCGTGGAGCTTTCATCGTTTTTCTGAACGACATCATCAGCACAAGCTTCAGGTATAAGTGAAGTGTTCGAATTTCTCCATATGCGTTTCAAAGCTTGTCCTGTAGACCTCTGTGTTGATTGGTTCTTATTGACCTTAAATTTCTTATTGCTTACTTCTTCGTTTTGGTTGTGTCTCCTATTGGTTTGATTCTTGTTCCTATATTTGTGCATAATTTTGCTGGTTGATTGATAAATTGCATCGATTTCAATGTGTTTGTTGATTGTTGATTGACCTGAGTGCCAGGCTTCTAAAAATTCTCTGGTGTTTTCGGAATTTCCTCTGTCCAAGATTTCCACATTTTTCCAATCGAATGTTTGTCCGCAGTTGTCTACGTGTATTGATATAAGTGAGGAAATATCATGCCGTTTGACTGCAAATTGATGTTCATGTAAGCGCATGTGAAGGGGGCGTCCGCTTTGTCCGATGTAGCGTTTGTCGCAGTTTACACAATTTATTTTGTAGATGATGTTTGATTTCTCTTCTTTTGTTATTTCATCCTTTGCTTTGCATAGGATTGGTTGTAGTGATTTTGTTGATTTGTGTGCCACACCTATCCCGAAGGTTTTCAGCAGTCTTGTTGCGATTTCTGATATGCCATTTATGTATGGTAGGGTGATCCGTTTGTTAATTCCTGTTCTTGATTTGGGCTCTGATGCTGCATGTGTTTGGTATTTTTTGATGAAGTTGATTGTGTAGCCATTCTTTTGAAATACGTCCTTCAGGTATTTCTCTTCGTTTCTTCGTGCTGCCAGTGTGCTGCAGTGGTTGATAAATTGCATCGATTTTAGTGTTTGTTGATTGTTTATTGACCTGAATGCCAGGTGTAACGACCGAACTACCAATATTCTGGCTTAACATAGGACTGACGAAACAAAACGTATTCGAATAGGTCAGACCACGATCTTCTGTGTAGCTCGCCAAACGTTTTTGAGACACTCGTATTATATCAAAACACAAACTCTGTGCTCAATTTATACGGTTCTAATTTAAGGAATAGAACAAATTCTATCGAAAATACGAAACGCCTCAAACGGTACAGCCTGCTATACAGTCAGAAGTTTCTCTAACTCAATGTAGTGCGCTAAACAATAAAAGAAACAGTCAATACCAAAGGATTTGACATCTGAGAATCAACAAATATATTCCCAACAAACGGGATCAAATGTCTATCTGCATGGATTCCGGAAATCCTCCCAAGCAGACAGTCATACACTGAATCACAACATGACCTTGAGCTTAGTCAAACACGACCTTATTGTCGATAATTCAGCAACATGCAATAAAAAATTAGGTAACAAAAAGAAAAGTTTTTAATCAAAATCACATAACAAAAGTTCAAACGAGATCTGAACAAAGGTTAAAATATATGACAGGGAGAAGAAACAAATAAATAAAATGATTGTCCAACAAAAAGGCTGTGGAGGGATTTTCATCGTTCTCTTTCCGTTACACAAAGCTTCTAAAAATTCTCTGGTGTTTTTGAAATTTTCCTCTGTCCAAAATGACGGAAATCACGGAATACAACGTAAAGTATGCGTGCAACTAGACGATTTGGACTTTGCAAATGACCTAGCTCTTCTCTCCAATGCACACCCACATGTGCTGGTTAAGACACTCAGTGTAGTAACAGCCCCTGCAGCAGTAGGCCTCAACAAATAGAAGGCAGAAGCCAAGATCCCCAAATATAGTAAGGGGAACACCAACACAATCACACTTGGTGGAGGAACTCTGGAAGAGGTGGAAACTTTCACGCACCTGGACAGCATCATTGACGAACAAGAAGGATTCGATGCAAACTCAAAGGCAATGATTGGCTAAGCAATGACAGCATTCTTACAGTTGCAGAACATACAGAACTAAAAACAACTGTCAACCACTACCAAAGTCAGAATCTTCAATACGAACTTCAAGATAGTTCTACTGTACGGAGCTGAAACTTGGAGAGCTACCACAACCATCATCAGAAATGTACAAGTATTTATAAACAATTGTCTACGTCAGATACGCAATGTCCGTTGACTTGATACCATCAGCACCAGTCTACTGTAGGAGAGAACAAACCAACTTTTAACTGAGGAGAAAATTAGGAAAAGACACTAAAAGTGGATAGGACATACGTTTCGGAAATCATCAAAATGCATCTTGAAGCAAGCACTAACCTGGAATCCTGAAGGGAAACGGAAAAGAGGAAGGTCAAAGAGTACATTGCACTGGAAACTGGAAGTAGACATCGAAAGAGTAAACAGCAATTGGGAAGGACTGTCCAAGACAGAGTCGGATGGAGAATGCTGGTAAGCGGCCTATGAGTCTCCACGAGAAGTAACAGGCGTAAGTAAGTAATTAATTTCTAAAATTCATTCATTTATTCCCTCGCATGATACAATTGTTAATATTCCCACCTGTTTACATCATTTCTTTCCATTAGACTTTAAGCTGGTAAGTAGCTTTTCAGTTTTAATGATTAGATTTCAAATTTTTCGGGATCAGTTTATTCATTATTAAGAAGATGGAATATTGTAAAAATAATGGGTATAGTCTCATTTTAAATTACTTTTTAAACATTTAACAATACTAAAATTAATATAAAAGTAATCCGAGTGGAGAAATATGCTTTTGTGTAATTAATATGTACAAATAAGTTTCTTATATCATATGATTTTAAAAACATCACAACTATAGAACAATAAGTTCCAGCTATATGTGGTTTGAAATTCGTGAAACAGAGTAAGCATCTATACTGATAATGCATATGGTAAATCGCTAAATATTGATTTCATTGCTCTGAGTACACATATTAATTATCTTAATGAAAATATTGGATATTTAATTCGTCTGTAACCAGTTGTTTTATTTCTCTTATACATTAATAGAGTGATAAGTGTCTTTGTCAAAGATATTTTAGCCGTGTTACTAAAACAATGTTTTAAAATAAAACGTCAAAGTATTTTCTTGTTCAATGTCCATAAATCATTAATGCCTTCCAAGTTAACATAAACTTTTTTATCAACGGTTCATTTACTACTATTACTTATGATCATGAAAAGTTTTTCTCTTACGGATAATCAACGATTAGACTGGTTAATAGCACTCAAGATAAAAACGATTTAAATAATTGATCTTTTCGAACTGAATATGCAAAAACTTGCGATTGATGAAGATTTCTAATAAACAGATCGTTCAGTATTGTTATCACATTTACGAACAAAAATTTGAAGTTTATGGCTGTTTACAAGTGCAAAGTCACTTGATAAGCAATGAAAATACTATACTTTAAAATCAAATATATGTAAACAAATTGTTTTTAAGTCTTTGAAAAAAGTAAATTTTTTCTGCGTTAAATATCAAGTAATAAAACATTTTGAATAAAATATCAATATTAAGATGGGCTTGAATAATCCCGTTGTTGAAATATAGGAATGTATTTTGACCGGTTCTTGTTGGTACACGCAGATCCTAAGTGGAACGTTTAGATATAATCTTTTTGTCAAAAATTTTACAAAACGGACGGATAGTGGCTAGTATTGAAATCTGGGAGCTGCGTTTTGGCGTAAAATGTAGTACACTTGAGTCTTAATATGAACGTGTGTATTATGTGTTAAATACAGTATTTTGCAGGTTTTTCTCTTTGCTTCGATTTCTTTATTCTAATATATTTGCGGTAAGGTATGCGAGTGAATTCACAAGCTATGCATGATTTTATTGTGCATGACAGCAGAATAACCCATTGTGTTGTTTTGTTTTTGTATGCGGATTGATTTGGAGCAATTTTTTGTGAACACTTCATCCAGCTGCAATAGGATAGTGTGATTTTCTTTGTTCACTCACGCATATCGTCAATCAACGTATATATTCATCGACTTAAATTGAGTTAATGAACTATGGGATTCAATAAGTCAAAGACGGAACTTCACCTTTTGATCTACAGTCTTCCTTTTGTTACCTAATTTTCTATTGCATGTTGCTGAATTATCGACAATAAGGTCGTGTTTGACTAAGCTCAAGGTCATGTTGTGATTCAGTGTATGACTGTCTGCTTGGGAGGATTTCCGGAATCCATGCAGATAGACATTTGATCCCATTTTGTTGGGAATAATTTTATTGATTCTCAGGTATCAAACCCTCTGGTACTAACTATTTCTTTTATTGTTTAGCGCGCTAATTTGCGCTAGAGAAACTTCTGACTATAGCACAGGCTGTACCGTTTGAGATATT